AGTTCAGATACGCCCGAATGTGCATCCGAATCCCTCAAACCAAGGCTCTGATACCAACTTGTGACACCGTAAAAATCTGAAACAATTTTTCACTTTTGAAAACCATCAAATATCATTCACATTCATTTTAAAAACATTGTATCAACATTGTATCAGTACAAAACCCCAAGATCAGAATATAAATAAACTCCAATATGTGTGTGTACGAATCATGTCGACGCCTTCCCGCGCTCATCACTGGTACCTGAAACACATAACACAACAACTGTAAGCATAAATGCTTAGTGAGTTCCCCAAAATACCGCATACAACACATACGCCACTCGAGGCTATAATTCGACCCTCTGGTCGATGTGTCTCAGCGGGACCCTCCAATCCCGTAGCTCGTTAGACCCTCTGGTCCGGTCATAGCTCGTTAGACCCTCCGGTCTGGTCTATATCATCATATAACATACATATATCACATAGCACATAATCTTATACATAACACATAAGACCCTCTGGTCATCACATAATACCACTCTAGGTAACGTATAGTGAGAAGACTCACCTCGGTGTCTCGGTAAATATCTGACTCGGAAGAAATGTGATCTAGCCTCCGCCTAATCACATAAAGTAATACTCTCATAAATACAATTGTACTCAACCCTAAAAGTCAACAAGGTCAATGGTCAAACTTTGACCCGACTCGTCGAGTGCACTAGGGCAACTCGGCGAGTCTACACGTATCCACTGACTCTCTTAGGGTTTCTCTTTGGGGGTAGGTGGCCGCAAATGACGGCCCTAAGGGCCTTTAAATAGGTCTCAAACCCTGGAAATTAGGGTTTCATTAAACAGCATGGACTCGCCGAGTCCACTCATGAACTCACATACAAATCCGCGACCATACTCGGCGAGTTTAGACGCCACCTCGCCGAGTCTCCTCACAATTCCCAAAAATACAAGAACAAAATAGGATACCTGGGAATCCGGATGTTACATGGCATCTCTGTCATGTGATTTATGGCCCCATTATCCAAGTACCATGTATCCTTCTCATTCCTTTTTGTTGCCAGGAAAACTACCTTCATTAAGCAATTCCTAGTCATCTGTATCTTCACCCCCATACAGTTAACAGAAGAGCCTGTACGCGTGTGAGATGAACAGCAACTTCCTTCCACTTGGGATTTGGGCACTTTGATGCAAAATGCCCAAACAAGTCACAGTTGAGGCACTTTATGTGACTTTTGACTCTTCCTTTTCCTTGACTGTTTTTGGTATGTCATGATTGTTGAGGATTGCCTCGACCTCCTCTTCCACAATAACCTCCTCGACTTCCCCTCTTACTGTGAGAGGAGTCATGGCCTCTTCTAGCTGTAGTAGGATGCATGATGATCTTAAAGTGCAAAAATACAACATCAGTTATATTCTATTGATTGTTATTTGCAGAAAGCAGTTGAGGGATATTTTCAATTCTAGTGTACTTGATGAAATAATTATGCATATATCGAACACGTTCATGAGCAATGGGAGGCCTTGTCATTGGGTGGATTATTTGATGCCCGAGGCAGGCAGTAGTGTCACTAAACTACGTCAACTCATGGGGGAGACACAAGCAGTTTTATCAAGGTACTTCTTTCTAGTACAGTTACAACTTACAGTGGTTTAGTAAGTGTAATTTGTTTTTTTTTTGTTTTGTTTTGTAGTTCTGAATTTGGGAATATTCTAGAGATGTCGCTGAAAAAAGTGGTGGATGGATTGATGGAGGACATGAAATTACAGTTTGGTGTTGGTGTTGGTGGTGATGGGAGTTTGGGTGTACCGCTTGCCAAACTTATTCCACGTGTTGCACAAATTAGTCCTGGTGTTGGTGTTAGTGTTGGTGGTGATGGGAGTTTGGGAATATATATAGTCCTTTATTGTATATATGATTTTTCTTTTAATCATTTATATTATGTTACTTGAATTATTATACGTTTGATCTTTATTTTACATATTTATATAGAGTATATATTCATATTTATAATGATAATATGATCATATTTTAATATTAAATCAAACGTATTATTTTTCAAAAAATATTAGTTAGTAGTCTTTTTTATAACTTCTTATTAGTGATTTTACTTAATACCATTCGACTACATAGTTTTTCTTTTACCACTCTATATAGAATGGTCAGTATATTTTTTATTTTTCTACACTAACTTATGACTTAAAATAAATGTCATTTCATCAATATTCACCTCCAAATAAAAGACTTTCAGTGGTTTAGCTTATTTAAATAGTTTTTTTTTTTTTTAAATTAACTAACATATCATCATTTATCTAAAATGTTTTAAAAAACAATCTCTTTTAATTAGTCAATTTTTTAAACATAAATCATATTTTAATATGATCATACAAAAAAAAACTATATTCATTCTTTATTTATATAAAGTTGAGATGTACATGTGATGAAATTGTATTAACCACTTAATAATATATATTGACAAGTTGGGTCTAACACACTTAGAGCATCTCCAACTCACTCTCATTCTTTATTTTTTTCTCCATTTATTCCTCCATTCTTCTCCAACTCTACCCCATTTCTTCCCCCATTTTGAGGGAAATAAATAGTACAACACCATATTTGGTGTTATACTATTCATTTCCCCCAAAATGGGGATGAAATTTAAGTTGTTGGTTTTAGTCCCTCGTTTTATATATTTATACATTTCTGGTTTTTTTACCTACTAATTATTATTTAAATGTAATATTTAATACTTATAATATTGTGTTATATATTAACTAATATTAATTAATTATAAATATAAATTTTCTTTTTGTTTATCAAATTCATATTAGAATTTAAATACATATTGAAATTTTTAAAACACAATAACGTATTTTACAAAAGCTTATAATTATGTATTATAAATATAATATTATTGTAATGAAAAAAATATAGATTATATATTTGTTAAAACCAAATTAATAGAAGGGTGTATTTGACAATTTATATAAGTTAAAAGAATGAAATATACTTTTGGGAGGTAAAAATTAGGTAAAAAAATGGAGTAGGGTTGGAGATGAAACACTATTTACCCCATTTTTTGGGGAAAAAATGAAAATGGGTTGGAGATGATTTTAGCTAACAAGATGTCTAACAAAGAGATCTTGGGTTCTATCTAAAACATATACTAACCTGTCATTTAAAATTTAAAATAAAAAAATAAAAATAAAATAAAATAAAAAACTAATTAATTAATTAACTAATAATATTTATTGAATTTCAAAATAAAAAATTTATGTAGTCTAATATAGGGATGAGATTTTGAACCGGAACCGGAACCGTTAGAACCGAAATATATAGAACCGGTTCCGGTTCCGGGTTTAAAAATTGGTTTTATCCGGGTTTGGGTCCATCGGATCCGGGTAAACCGGGTCTAAAAACTGGAACTGGTGTTTGGCACCGGAACCACTCTTAGGGTCGGAACCGATTTTTGTGAAACGTTTAAATGATGCATATCTCATCCGTTTCAACTCCGATTGACATGCGGTTTTTTCGATCATGTAGTTTAGAGTTTGTACATGATTTTAGACTATAAATTTGCCATTTTTAGTTTTATATTCATTGAGTTACAGTCCCTCAAAGTCAAGATATCAAAGCTAGAAGTTTTTAGTTTTTCAGTTTTTTTATATTCGGTGAAAGTTTTAAAACATGCATATCTAATTCGTTTGTAATCGAATTGATATGTGGTTTTTTCCAACTTGTAGTTTACAATTTATACATGAGTTTAGACTATAATTTTGTCATTTTTGGTTTAACATTATATGATTTAGAGTCCTTCGAAGTCGGGATATCAAAACTAAAAAATTTCAACTTTTCAGCTATTTGTTTTTGTACTTTGTATATCTCATTCGTTTAAAGTCGGATTGGCATGCGGTTTTTTCCAGAGTGAATTTTAGAGTTTGTACATGATTGTAGACTATAATTTTGTTAATTTTGATTTCATATTCAATGAGTTACAGTCCCCCAAAGTTGGGATATCAATATGAAAATTTTCAAAATTCAACCCAATAAGTAGTAAGTAATTACAAAAAAAATACGGTTTTTCCGAGTTTTTGGTTCTAAATCTACTTTATCTGGTTCTAACCTATCCACTTTGATATTTCCGGGTTTTCCGGTTCTAGACCCACTTTACCCGGAACCGAACCGGAACCGGTTCCTATATACCGGTCCGGTTTTCGGTTCTACAAAATCCCGTTAACCGGTTCCGGGTTTTCCGGGTCCGGGTTTGGACCCAATTTCATCCCTAGTCTAATAGTAGTATTAAGGGGTCAATTAAAAAAACATCTATAATAATAAGTTATAAAAAAAACTAATATTCTCTTATTTAGCTCATCATGCCAAAAAAAAAAAAACAAACAAACAAAAAAACGTGTTATGCTTTCTTTTGAATATAAAATATTAAGTTTCAAGTTTTGTTTTCAAAAACAACATTTTAAATCATATGGTGATTTATACATTTTCACTGCTTATTAAAAGTATTACTTGATTAAGACTCAAACAAGTAAAGCAACATATTTTATCATTTGTAGTGTTACGGGCCTTATACTTTAATATTTACCATAATAGAAACGTATTTGTGATTTTCTACCAAAACAAAAACTTTTGATCGGAGGAAAAACTAACCATCTAGTATTTTGTTTATTTTTTAAACCATTTCAGATATTAATTATATTTAACAATCATACACTTACCGACATACATCCATAATAACATACAATGATGGTTTGCATATCTATAATTAAAGATTATGGTTTTTTATCATATAATTTATTTTATATTTTCACTTTATTCAAATTGATTAGTCATTATGATTGAAATAATAGTATTTTTCTTCTTCAATCGTGGCTTCCACAAGTATTACTCTAATCTAGTAAGTAAACAAAATACATCTTTTCCTTCATAAAATATTCATCCTAAACAATAAATTGTTATAGCATCTAACAAAATTAAATTCAGAAGTATTCTAGGATTATAGGTGATCGATAATTGCCTCCTCCAACATGAACTGACTACATGTTTAATTTTGATAAGCATTAAGTTATGATTCCTCTCATCTTAAGATAAATATGATATGTGATTTGACATGTAACATAAAGAATATATTTCAAACAACTGAAGACTAAAATATTACTGGCCTTTGGGTTAAAGTTGCAAAAACATTTTAAGTTTAATAACATGAGTTTTTTAACATTTTGGTTTTTTCATTCAGGCTACAGACTTTAAAAAATAAACAACTTTTTACTTGACCGCAAACATTTAGCCTACATCTTTTTCTTAAGATATGGTTCGCAGACTTGCCTTATAAAAAAATACAACGCCTAAATAATTAGAGAAATCTCTTAATCATCGTCTTATTGCAAGAAGCAAGTGGGAAGTCTGTAGATATCGACAAAATTCTAAGACCACACAATACAATACCTTATATAATTACTAGCTAAATAAAAGGTTTTATATATTATCATCTATTTTTGACAGGAACTAAAACATGAAAAGCTAAAGCTTCAAACTTAGTGAAGGGAAAGGGAAAAGGAAAAAGAAAAGGACAAGCAACAACATACAAATAAGTCTCTATATAATATTTGGTGGTACAAGTAGAGAAGATTTACATGTTTGTGTAGAGCAGAGTGAAGAAAAGTTCAACTTGGGGAATGTTTTGAATGATATGAGTAAACTTATTCCGGCTGGGTTCCTCCAGCAGCAGCGGACTAATCTGTGCAACGCATGGAATAAGTTTGGCAAGCGGTACACCCAAACTCCCATCACCACCAACACCAAACTGTAACTTCATGTCCTCCATCAATCCCTCCACCACTTTTTTCAGCGACATCTCTAGAATATTCCCAAATTCAGAACTACAAAACAAAAAACACAAAAAGAACAAATTACACTTAGTAAACTACTATAAGTTGTAACTGTACTAGAAAGAAGTACCTTGATAAAACTGTTCGTGTCTCCCCCATTAGTTGATCTAGTTTAGTGACGTGACTGACTGCCTCGGGCATCAAATAATCCACCCAGTGATGAGGTCTCCCATTGCTCATGAACATGTTCAATATATGCATAATTGTTTCATCAAGTACACTAGAATTGAAGATATCCCTCAACTGCTTTCTGCAAATAACAATCAATAGAATATATACATCAGTTTCACTGATGTTTTATTTTTGCACTTTAAGATCATCATGCATTCGAGTTGATGATCTTGCATCAGCCACTTAATTCTATTTATTATAACCAAACCAGCAGCACTGACCGGAGAGTGTTAGCTACAAAACTATCCTTCTAACCAACAATATCATATCTCATTCCAACCACATGAAGGCAGGCTATAGTTAATTATTATTATTGTCCCTCAAGATGATCCCTGCAACAAACTAACTAAAACTGTCGTCTACAATAATACCCAACCAAAATCAAACCTCTTTTTGAAATCAATTATCAACAACTTTGCAGATAATCAAAATCAAATTTGATCAACAGACAAAACATTATTTTTCTTAAAAGAACTAAAGATCCAATATCCAGACCGAAGCTTAAGATGTCAATAGTGGAATCACACACACAAACAAAAAAGTAATAGTAATTTGAATCTGAATCTTGTTGGTAAAAAATCAAATAAAGGCTCCCCTAGTACAGCTGGAAGAGGCCGTGACTCCTCTCACAGTGAGGGTGAATCATCAAGCACCTTTGCAGATACCTTATCTACATCCCTAGTGTAGACAAGGCAACATACGACACACCAGTCTGTGGTTTCACGATCCCTAACCGATATATACGAACAAATGCAAGCCTTGCAAGATGATTCGGAAGTTCTAATGTATGCAGGTGAAGAACCCACCACTTATGAAGAAGCTTCAAGTGATGAAGAGTGGAGAACTGCAATGAAACAGGAGTTGGAATCGGTCGAGAAGAATGCTACATGGAAACTAACACATCTTCCCACAGGGCATCAGGCAATAGGGCTGAAATGGGTGTTTAAATTGAAGAAGGATGCAGAAGGTAAAATGACCAAATACAAGGCAAGAATTGTGGCAAAGGGTTATGTACAGCAAAAGGGTGTCGATTTTGATGAAGCTTCCGCACCAGTGGCACGTTTGGAAACAATACGAACGTCATTGGGCGTTGGCTTTGGCTGCGAGTGAAGGATGGAAAGTCCATCACTAGGACGTAAAATCTGCCTTCTTAAATGGGATTCTATAGGAAGAAGTGTATTTCACGCAACCAACCAGTTTTGTTATTGCAAGAAAAGAGAGCATGGTATACAAGTTGAACAAGGCCCTCAGCTCTCTATGGTCTACGTCAGGCTCCAAGAGCTTGGAATGATAGACTTGATCAAACAGTGAAAGAGATGGAATTCCAAAGATGTCCACAGGAGTATGACGTGTATAAACTCCAGAAGTCAAACAAGTCTTTGATTGTCGGGGTCTATGTGGACGATCTGATTGTGACAGGTTCAAGTGAAGAACTAGTGGCTGAGTTTAAGAGGCGGATGCTAAAGACCTTTGACATGAGTGACTAAGGAACCTTATCCTACTACCTAGGGATAGAAGTTCACCAAGACAAGGATGACATCACAATCGGTCAAACAGGGTATGCTAAGAAGATTCTACAAATAGCAAGAATGAGAGAATGCAACCCATTTCATACAAGGTTGTACTGAAAGGAAACAGATTGAGGTGAAGCATATCAGTGGCGATGAACAAAGAGCAAACCCCTTAACAAAAGCTTTGCCCATACTCAAGTTTATAGAGATGAGGAATCTTTTAGGAATTATAAGGCTTGAGGACAAAGTTCAAAATTAAGGGGAAGTATGTGGGAATAGTAATTCTGACTTGGTCTCTTAGTTGACCTAGTCTAAAGGAATAAGTGGCTTAGTTGCCACCTTGTTCGGAACACACGATTTTACTGTTTTAGCTTTTCTGTTTTTCCTTTGCATGTTATTTAAAGCATTGTAAGTCTCTTTGTTTTAGTATCAGAAGTAAGAAAGAAGAAAACTGGGAATCTTTTCCCTCCATCTCTATGTTTTTACCCTGTTTGGGCGTAAATTTTCTGATCAGAAAAAGGGCCTGAATAAACAAATCTGAAGGGGAGATATCTCATAAACTGATAGCAACTATCCCATATCAAACTAAAGAGCACAAACCAAACATACCAGAATTATTAACAAAAGAAACCCAACACAAGCCACTAGTATTTCCTGGCTCAGTTGAAAACCTAACAGAAAAGAAAAAGCCACACCTGATAGAAACCTCAAGTCATGCCAAGAAACTAGTTAGTTTCTTGCCTGATTGAGAACTGGATTGGATGATCAATGGCATTATATGGGATGCTGAAAATAACCTATTCTCCAATAACCCAAGAATCTAAGAATCAGATAAGTGAAACTAATTGACTGACTATGACTGGTAATCGAGTAATCAGCTAGTAACTAAACCCAAAGCAAGAATTGAAAAAAAAAAAAAAAAAAAAAAACACGGGCTCAATCGAATCAGACTACAAATTCCTGAAATCAATTTTGGTTGTGTATGCACAAAACCCAAGAAATAGATTATTCTTGAAAAAGGGTAAAATGTACTTATAACTTCCAAGACCTTGACAACTTTTCCTAAAGTCATCTCAAGTTGTTGGCAAACTATTGATAACATGGATAATGTCATCTTTTGACTTATTTTGTATTCATGCTCTTATCCATGATGTGTTAATGAAAATAAAGATTTAGGTTGATAGAAAGCTTCTTAAATGCTAATTGTGGAGGGGAAGAGTTTTGTAATAACCAACTTAATAAGAGTTGGTGTTTTCATGAAGCGGAATGAAAGTCATGACTTTGAACAATCTCACTATTTATCCAAGAAAGTAATGATGTTTAAGATGGTTGGAAGAGCTTTAACAATTGTGCTTTGTTTGTAGTTGATTTCAAATAATAGCTTGAGCTTCAATAATAAAAATGATTGTAAAGGATGTACCAAATCCATGTTAAGTCTTATAGAAGTTGAAACCCTACCTAGATTAAGCAATGGTGAACTTGCAATGGTGAGAAAACTGAAGCATATTACTATTAAGGCGAGTAATTGTGTAAGTTGTCCAACAGTCAACATGTTACTATCACTGTATCACATTTGAATGTGTGATTTGAGATGTATTCTTATTAGCCCCATAACTTCTATAGGGAATGTGATTGTAATAGTCAGAAAAATATTGGGATGCACCCTTACTAGTCTGGTCCCAAAGTAAGAATTGGGTATGTAATTTTATGATCTCATGTCCGGGATGTATCTATTCTATGTTAGTTCCATGTTGGGCATTTTCGGGAATGAATGATGTATGAAGTACAAAGGATAGGATATACTTAAGAAGCAAATCAATCAGTATAGTATAGTTTCCATTCAGGAAGTCTAGGACTCTGGGTTTTGTATTGTTTGGATATTATATGGTTAAAACTCATAAATAATAAATATTATTTCAAATACATAATCCTTACCCTCTGAGAACTTCAGTTGTGGCAGCTTGCATATTAGATATGAGTGTGGGAATTCTCTGACTTGAAAGAAAATCAGCACTTGCCAAAAACAGTTGTTCGTCGCTTCTATCCATCAGTTCGCCATCCTCCTGTAAAAAAACAAAATTCTAATTTCATGAAAATGGCAAGAATTTGGACAAAGAATAGATCATGAGACAATTATTATCAAATAATTCTCATTCCCTATGTTCTGTATTAAATATTTAATAGCCCCCTTGTAACATTAGTCAATGTTAGCTTGGATGATACGCACAACTACTTCTAGTTTGACACCCACAAGAAAAAGATTGGTGTGTGGTTCATTCAACTATTGTATAAGAGAATCGATGTGTTTGGTTTTGTTATCATACGGATAACTTGGCCTCCCACTTAAACAATGGCCTAGATTTCCTATTAAGAGGGTTTTGTTTTGAGTTGAGTTGAATCACTAATCCAATCCAAGGTTATGTGCTTCACGGACCGAGTTAACAAACTACGTCTACATTAAGGTTTGAGGGTTTTGTGTTCGAGTTAAATGCTACATTGAGTAATAGTTTTGGGAGGTACTTATCTTTTGCCCTCCCTCTTCTAACCAAATCACTTTCTTCCGAATATGATTTATCTTTAGAATTTGTGTCTTGAGAAAAGACTTGTTAATTTTCAATTATTTGTAGTTACTTCTCATCCTTAGTTTTATCAAACCAGTCATCGACTTATTTCTTATTAGAGGAGTATATAAATATTAGGTTATCAATCACTTGAAACACTTTGCCTTTGAGTATGATATCTAGTCTATTCTTAACAAACTATATGATCACTTCCATATACAATAGCACCGTGCATCTCGCTTATACTAAAGGCCTATTACATTTCATGTCTTCCAAACAATGGAGAGAATATATATACAAAATTTGGTAAAAAAACACAATTTAAATATAAAGAACATAACTATACTTCTTTAAACCTAAAGTTATATTGGAAGTTTAAATTTTTGTCAACTTTTGTTTAATGGTTCATGGTTGCCCCAAAACAAATAGTAACAAAAAAAAATCAACTTGCAAAACAGCAACAACCAAAACCAAGGCATAATCTAGTCTACAAATGAGACTAAGACAGAAGACAAGGATTAGATTTACAACAGCATGGTTGTCATGTCAAAAGAATACAATTATTAATTAAACTCTTCAACACGTTGACTTCTCAACTGAATAACAAATTTTGGGAGCAGTTTTGTTCCGTTTATATTCAAAAGTACAACAATAGTGAAAACAGTCTCTCCTACAATACGTTTGTGTAGATTAACTACATAGCAACACTAAATATAGTTAATAGTTTCAGATATGAGCTTCTTGATTTTTAGGTTTTTATTTCGAAGTGGAGAAGTGATGGTTTAAACTCCACGATATATAACAAGTATCTTTAAAAAGGATGTTCCCTAAATAAATAATAAAACAAAAAAAGCAAGTATAAGTTAATACTAAAAGTTAAAATCAAGTAGTAACCTACTTCTCTCAAATGTGACGCAGAATTTCTAAGTTTTCCTAACTAATTTGTTATATGAAATAGATGGCACATCACTAATTCCAAGTTTAAAGAATTTGTGTATAAATGTTGAAGTCAGTAAGGGGCATTTGTTAAGCATGACAGAATAGGAGAGAAACAACAGGTTGTACTGTGGGTGGTGTGCATTGGACACGGACTACAATCAATGTCAATGAGACAATAGTTGCAATTTTTTTCGTCCTCATCACCATCATGAAATATAACAAACACAACCTAAAAGACAAAAAAGAAAGAGAGGTTGTTACACTTACAGTTTGAAATCCACCAAGGTCTTGTGCAGTATCTATGTATAGATGTCTCCCTAAGATGTTGACCTGAATTCTAATGTATAAGCTAATTGCAGTCATCGCCCAGATAGACAACACCATCCTGGTGAAACCTTTGCATATCAGACAAGATTTAGAATGAGAGGTTAGCCTGCTAATCCATATTAATTTAATTATCTACTAAGATGTGATCATAAGAAAAAAAATGTATTCATACTTAATATTTTAAGCCTATCCCAAAGCTCAAGTTTTTCTGAAGGTGTCAAACTGTTGGGCTGACCTTTTCCTTTTATCAACCTCTCTGTAAGATGCAAAACATCCAACTCTTCTGAAACCCGGCTACTCAAATAAAGCATGGCATGTGGCAATGTCATCGTATTAGCTATTCTTTGGATGTTCTCAAAGTGCATTTGCATCCTGTACATCGGTCATTTCCCAAAAAAAAAAAAATGTTAAGAAAATATCTGATTGGCTTGATAAACTACAAAATGACGAGTATCACTACTATCTTACTGGGCCTTAAGAAGCTCATCATTCTCTTGCTCATCAGCAAGTTGTCTCTCGAGTTCAGAAATCCTCTTTGAATAAGCATCATAAAACTTGTATAATAGGTACCCACCTCCACAAAGCCCAAGAGAAACATAGACCTTTCTTTTATGTCTTCTCCAAAAATCCCTACAATCAGAAAAAAAAAAATTATACAATAAATAACAACTCAAACCTACAGCAAAACCGAATCTACACTGTTCATGAGCAGAAAATTACTAGTGTACTTTTTTGTAATTTAGTTTGAAATCGTGATTTTGAAAAGAAAAAATCAAAAGGACGAACTAAAAAGTTGATGGGACAAACAGAGGAGTGATGGACGGACTTGCGTTGCCATCGTCATCCTGCTGGTTGTCGTCAAATGGTGGGTTTTATTTGTAACTATTGAATGGACAAGTTTGGTGGATCAATTTGTTGGGTTATATTGTTGGGCTGACATGAAATGGATTAAAATATTTACACAAATTATACTCCTTGTGGTTTGGTGTTTCATCCCGGCCTAGTCTTTACCTCCATTTCTTTACAAGAAAATTACAAATATAACAAAATATCCTAATTACTTTGTAGGAAATAGTCAAAAAAAAAAAAAAAAAAAAAAAAAACGAAATTACATTTTTAGCCATCAAAATCGCAGATGAATTAAGCGCATCTGCGATTTGTTGGGTCAGTCCCATTATATCTACCCATTTCTCAAAGTTGCATTCTTGCGGTCGATTCTTGTGGAGCGTCCCAACATAGAAAATTCTTATAGGTGAAATTCATCTACAATGTTTACTCTGTTTGTTTTTTCTTTTTTTTCGCTATATGTACACTCACATCGTCTTCGCTGTATTTTATTTTTATAATATTGTGATGTTAAAAAAAAAAAAAGATAGTGATATCAGTAAAGCAACAATAAGAGAGATTGATACACTATCATTTATTTTGTATATAATGGTTAATATAGTTCTTAGTGAATGCAAGGTTTTAAAAATCGGTCGAGGCGTACGCCTCGAGGCGAGGCGGAACAAAACCGATTCTGAGGCTACGCCTCTTAGGGGGAGAATGAGGCGCACGCCTTAGTCGTTTGAGGCGGTGAAAGGCGGTCCGAGGCGGGGCGTTCCGAGGCGAGGCGTAAGAGGCGTTATAGGGTTTTTTTTTTTTTTTTTTTGACTTTTTGACCTTAGAAATCACGAAATCACGTGATATAACCTAATTTTCTCCAGCCGTCACTCCCTATTTGTCTCGGTTCTTCTTTCTTTTCTTTCTTTTTCTCTTCTCGTTTCTTCTTTCTTTTCTCTTCTCGTTTCTTCTTTCTTTTCTTTGGGATGATGACATTAAGTAAGACTTTTATGTTTGAAATTGGACTTTAGTATGTTTTTTATGATTAATATAATATATTATTATTATTATTTTATTCCGCCTTGAGGCTTACGCCTCGTTTCGCCTCGAGGCTTACGCCTCGTGAGGCGAGGGGTAAACGCCTTGAGGCCCGATTCCGTATTTTAAAACCTTGAGTGAATGTTTGTGATGTAAAGATTTCCAAGTGGGATGAAGTAGGATAAAGATTTGTGTATCGTTTTTGTGTCTTCTTTAATATTCACATATTTATGCAGTAAATTATGTTGAGAGAATAAATATTCTAGACGAGAAAAAAGGTAATTTGTCTTCTATTTTTTTAAACGTTTTTGGCATAAATGTAATAGGTTAATAAAGCCTTATAATCAATTTAATGTTTGTTTGATGCTAATCTTGTAGGAAAATTATGCTTTGATTTGCTTTGATTCAAAGGAAAAAAGGTAACCAATTTATAATATTTTTATTCCTCAACTAATGGGTCAAAACACATAAGGAGATTAGGATCAATGGAATTGGAAAGGAGCACAAGGCAACAATTATTGCAGACACAATGGGTAAACCAGTGGAGATACTACCAACTTCTAAGATAGCCAAATACAAGTTAGAGAAAAAAAATATAAATAGTCCTTATAAAGGTTTGTTAATATTTGGTTTAATTGGGACAATACACTAATGATATCAGGAAATAGCTATGTAATTTACATTATTTAAGTTATTAAATTATTAAAAAATAAACAAAAATTATTGTTATAGATAACATTATACAGGAGGGGCTGAGGAGATGTCATGTTGCATAAGATGTACTCTTTTAACAGATCATTATATAGAAAAGTGATTGGGTTATACAATGGATTTGCTCATAAAGTTATTTGGTACTTTTGGAATTTAACTAAGAAGATTTTTTGGAGATTCAATTTGGCCTCATGATAAAGAAGATTAAGTTCATTTATATAGAAAAAAATGTTTTTAATTGTATATGGTGTTATTATTATTTTTTTCAAGAATTGGAAAAAAAAATGTACAAGTAAAATTTAAAGTCGTTCTTTTAAAGGACCCTTTTAAAGGAAATCAAGATAACACCAACTGTTCGACATATTGCTCCAAAGAATAATCATCTTTTGACTTTAGATCTTTTGTGTTACTTTGATGTATATCTATTGAATATGAATCTTAAGGGGTCTTCAGCATCATGTATGTACGATTTAAATAGGGTTGTGAATTTTTCTATTGCAGGTTTCCACCATCTCAATTCTCAAACACTAGATATTTATTAGTCTTTTCAAGGACTTTAAGGTCGGTTGAGGTTTACCAATATAGACTATCAAGGGATCTCAATTAGTTTTAGTATATATTAAGATATCTTAAATGAACTTTACTGCTTTCTGGGTTTTAGTTAAAGGTTAAAGGCACGAAATAGCAATGTACTTTAGTTGATTTGTGCTCTATAGCATCCTACTTTTTTTCTTTATATTATTATGCACAAAATTTATTGATAATAGAAATAAGGGATCATATTTAAGATTTCATATATTCATTCTTTTTGTATAGGTTCCTAAATATTTGGTATTTATTTATAGTATTAATGATTGTGCAGTATTCTTAATTAAAAATGGACGGCAAATGGACAGCCTAATTATGTTCGAATGTGTTATTTGTAGGTTCTGATGCTTTGTGTGCAATTTTTTTTAACATGCATATTTTTTTCTTGCATAATCACTTGACTACAAATTTGGTTGAAATTTATGCAAAGTGTTTCTACTATGTGGGGTTTGATATTATGCTTCACAGTGATGTTTGATATGGTTTATAAATTTTAATTTAATTTATTTGGTTTAAAGCAAATCTACCATGAACAAGAGGAGAAAATTGAAAAAAGTTGGTTGCAAAGATATTAGTCAAAAAATCTTCTTGATATAAAACAAAAATTAAAAATGACAATGAAAAGGTGATGATTAAATATTAAGTTATTTGCATAAAAAATTATTTCATACAATAAAAAAGCATCAATAATTTAAATATTATTTTTTTACCGGCACAAATAAATATATTCAAACTTATCAACGTATATACTATATATAATATTAACATAGAGATAATAATACTAGAAAATATTAAAATATCTAATGATTAAAAATTAAAATACATAATAAAATCCAATAGTAATAAGAATTGAAACTAACAATAAATTATAAATATGCCATTGAAAAAATACAATATTACAATTCATAAGTTTTTCTAAATTAATTATATAATATTTTATTACACAATCAATTCTTTTAATTCTATTTAAAATTAACACTCGTGGGTTCCACGGGTTTTAACATAGTTTATTTAAATCAACGAATATAATTTTATATAACTAAAAAAATATATCTTAAGTAATAATTTTTCAAAATAATTGATTAATAATTTTGATTTTTTAATATGAAAGGTTAATTAATTTTATAACCGTGGTTCTCACGAGTTATAAACTATTGTATGAAATAAAGAAGACACATAGAGAAGGTGCTTTAGTGACTCCTTTTTGAACCTTTGACCATTGTCTCTCTAGATTGTGAACAATTTCTTTCATAGAAGCCCACAAGATACAAAGAAAAAATGAAGAATATGAATAAAAGATCAATAATGAAGTGTAAGCAGGAAAAAAAAAAGATTCAAATTAGAGATTTCTAACCAACCGGTTCATTTTTCTTTTTCTCTAAGCTCTCCTGCAGAGAAGAAATTGAAGCAGCTTCAGCTTTTGATTTTAATATTGAATCACCAGATTCACAGTAATTATTAGTGTTTCATCCATTTCCTGCAAGGAAATATTCAAATATAACTAAAACTAAATGGATTTATTGAAAATAAGAAGAAAAAGTACATTTTGCAACCATTTTAAGATTGAAAAGAATGCAAGAACTGATAAGATGACATGCCTAGATGTTAAACGTAAGATTGAAGCATGGCTCGGTATGATCAGTTAATATGCACATCTAAACTATCTAGTATGTACATTCGATCTATCATGACAAACTCAGAAAATATGCAATTTCAATAAAATATGCAGGTTTTTAAATCATTAATCACCTGAGGCGCTAATTGTTTCTCAACATAGATTTCTCATAGTGAAGTTGATTTGCTCCGACTCTAAATCTAATATATTGAGCATGAATTCATGAAATTTCAACACATGATCAACATAATACCTATATGTTCTTCTATAGAAAAGTAGGCGTTCAATTGGAGGGCTAGGGCAGCATTAGAGGCGAGTGAATTTGTGATGTTAACTTGTTAACCATTTTAATCAATAAAAACGCAGAGAACCATAATATTGAGTATGAATCAGAATCTAAACACATAGAACCTACAACTTTGATATCTAATCGAATTAATAATAGATTGAAGGTGTATTAGCTTTTATCAGAACATAACATACCTTAACAGGGAATAACCGACGAAGCTGTAAGCTGGAAGAGGAGTTGTTGCAGGTGGAGGCGGCGCTATTGCAGGGAAAAGGAGAAGCTGCTGTAGGCGGAGGCGGCGAACGGCGAGGTGTATTCGGACTGTCGGAGGATGCGTCACAGACTTACGAGTTAAAATTATGAATATTGAAGAATGAAGATAGAAACAACGAGTGAAAAACAACGGCTTCGATTCGTGTTTGCGTCTTGCGATTAGGTTTCTTCGTTCACTCGTTTGGACGTTCCTTTCTCAATTGGGCATTTGGGATCCATTTATGCATTTTACCAATTACAAATTAAGATTAGGCTGGATTCTAGAGTTTTTAAATATTATGTTATAATTTTATTATCTAATATCTATATATAAAAATTAGTATTTAATACAACAAAATATAATTATGTATAAAAATTATATATATATATATATATATATATATATATATATATATATATATATATATATATATATATATATATATATACGGTTTGAAATCTTAAAAACCGTAAGCCAAACCGTTCTTTATGGTTTGAAATTTTCAAAAAAACAAGCCAAACCATAAAGAAAAATATAAACCGTAAAACTAAACCGATGACTGATTTGGCCGGTTTCACGGTTTCAAACCGAACCACGATCACCCCTATATGGAGGTCCGGGAGGCATTGGGAGTAAGAAAGTGGGGACAATTCCTTTTACAAACCATTTAGCAGCTCATTGGGCTGAACAACTACAACAAAAGAAGCACAAATTGGATTTTTTTTTTCTTTAAATCAGTCCAAAAAAATCAAAATAATAATGATATTAACCGGTTTATGAACAACATAATCCAAATCTCTACACAATTTGTTCGCAGGATAGGAAAAAAATATTTATATTAAAAATAACTAACTCATTGTTATTAACAATTAAATAATAATTTTATAACAAATATAAAAAATAATTTTTAATATTATTATTATGAGAAACTATAGCATAAGAGATAAGTTTAGAACTTGAAGTTGTTATACATATAAAAAGTTATATGATTAAAACAGAAAAAATTAACAATTTTTTAAAAATAAATAAATCATTATTGTTATCTATCTTATCGTAAATATTATCATTATATACAACATATGATAATAAAGACATCTTTCTATTTTAAATAGTAAATTAAAAAAAAAAATGTATCATAATTATTACTATAATTATGTAGAACATATAACAACGTCTTTTATAAGGTTAGAACTTAAAATTGTATTACATACGAAGTTGTAAAACTTTGCTAATACAACCAAATACTCGGCATGTTAATTGAACTCGGCCTCCAACGGAATCGAGTTTGCCTGACTTAGGAAAAAGACACTCAGATTTTAATCAAACTCGATCCAAATCTAAGAAGTTCAATCCAAGATCATTTTTGAAATTCTAAAACTTAATTGGACACTTGTCAACAAAGACAATCTCACCAAAGAATACCTTCAACGTCCTACAAAGGTAGACGCAAGAAAGATCTCATGGTTTAATCCCTTTGAAATATTTCACAATCTTTCTTATTTATAGTTGAGGAGGCATACTCTTGTTTACTCTCATCATCGATGTGGGATGAAGACAGTTAAATTAAACGCATTTCTTTATTTGCCAATAATTTTATTTTGATAAATAAAATATTAAATAATAAAAATAAAACATTATCAAGAAAATTTATTGTTCAATAGTTTCATTTTTTAGTAATCTCGTAAATTGTTATCCAAAAAAGTAAGTTTTCATTGAATAATTTTTTGTTAAATCCTAAGATCATAAATTGAGGTAGGTACCTAATATAGAAAGTTTGTTTATATGTATTTTCATAATTCAAAAGGTCATTATAAAATGAATTCCTTTATAAAATATAATCGAATATATATTTCGTGTTTTTGAATCAAAGTGTTTTTTCAAACAATTATAATTTTATGTTTTGTTTTTTTTTTATATTTATATAACATTATGTAACTTATTTATAATATTATTAAAAACAATATGAATAATCATGAGTGTTTCAAATGTATATGGTAAAAGGAAAATGCTCCATTTATCGGTCCAAATTTATCAAACTCAAACCCATTTGTATATATTTTGTGTTTTTGAATCAAATTCATTTTTCAAACAGTTATAATTTTATGTTTAGGTAAATTATTTACAATATTATTAGAAACAATTTGAAAAATCATGGGAGTTTCAAATGTATGTGTTGAAAGGAAAATGTTTCATTTATCGGTCCAAATTGATCAAACTCGGACCGATTTAACTCAAGATACCCAACTACATAATGGGTTTTCATCCAAAGCTCGACTTGAACTTGAAAAAATCTTGTTCAAAACCATTTTTGGAATTCTAAAACTTAACTGGACAGTTGAAACTAAAGACAATCTCACCAAATAATACTCTCAACATGCTAAAAAGGTAGGCATTAGGTAGTTCTCATGGTTCGGTTCTTTGAAACATTTCATAACATTTCCTATTTATAGAAGAGGAAATGTTCTCTTATTTACTATCACTATCGATGTCGGATGAAGACATTGAAATAAAACACCCTTTCTTGTTTATAAAACATTATTTAACTTATTTAATAAAACACCATTTCTCTTGTTTACCCTTTCTTTATTGTTCAATAGTCTCATTTTTCTATAATCTCGTAAGTTGCTATCAAAAAAAAAAAATCTTGGATAATTTTTTGTTAAATTCTAAAATCATAAATTCCGTCAGGTACTTAATATAGAAAGTTTGTTTATATGTATTTTCATGATTCAAAATTTTATTATAAAATGAATTTATTTATAGAATTTAATCTTAGGTAGATGTTTTTTTATATTTATATAACATTATGTAACTTATTTATACTATTATTGGAAACAATTTGAAAAATCATGAGAGTTTCAAATTTATGTGGTGAAAGGAAAATGCTTAATTTATCAGTTCAAATTGATCAAACTCAGACCGATTCAACTCTACCAAACTACATAACTTTTTTTCTAGTGAAACCCGGTTTGTATATATTTTGTGCTTTTGAATCAAAATGATTATTCAAACACTTATAATTTTAGGATTAGGTAGATGTTTTTTATATTTATATAACATTATGTAACTTAATTATACTATTATTAGAAATAATTTGAAAAATCCAGTTCCGATTCAACTCAATATACCCAACTATAGAACTTTTTTTCTACTGAAACATGGTTTGAACCTGAAAAAATTTGGTTTAAAACCTTTTTTGGAATTCTAAAACTTAACTGGACACTTGTCAATATAGACAATCTCACCAAATAATACCCTCAAAATCTTACAAAGGTATGCATGAAGAAGTACTCAGGGTTTGGTCCTTTTGAAACATTTCACAACCTTTCCTATTTATAGAAGATGAAAAGTTCGCTTGTTTACTCTCACCATCGATGTGGGATGAAGACATTGTAATAAAACACTCTTTCGTGTTTATAGAACATTATTTAACTCAACGAGTTTGAGCCTCCAATTTATAGGCTATAAAATGGCCAAACTCAACGAGTTTGAGCCTCCAACTTGTCAATTTGGTGTGTCACATGTCACCATATGGGTGCAAGGCGTGGGGAGAAAGCAATGGCTCAGATCGTGCCACGTCACCCCTTTCATAGTAGCACCCTTGAGACTTCTAAATGTCGTAACTTTTGCATACGAGCTCCGTTTTTTATGTTCTTTATATCCACGCGTAGGTATTGACAAGATCTACAACTCTCCTTTTGATTCCATCGTCTAATTCTCGAACAATTTTAAATTTAACAGTATGAGAAGATTACATTGTTAACGACCGTGTAAAATTCATAACTTTTACATATGGACTCCGTTTTCAACTGTGCCCTTAATAGTTGAACTCCTTTTAATGAGATCTTCAATTCTCATTTAGGTTGTTTCAACTAAAAATCGCCCGATTTAAAATTTAATTTCTGGGTTGTATACTGTTATGCGAAATATTGGAAAAATCATAACTTTGTAACATCCCGAGATTTGGCAGGTATTCCTGAACCCTCTTCTATCATTACCTTTTCATTTATGCTCCTTGGGGTTGGAAGTGAAGAGTCAAGATAAGTTTAAGGACCAAGTTTGCAAACTTGGGCCAAAAGGGAGTATGTTGCATGTATATAAGAGTACGCTAAGCGTATTAAAGTTCACCTTAGTACGCTGGGTGTACTAATGTTTGTGTGAAACCCTAATATTTAGGGTTTGGGACCTATATAAGCAACATTATGAGCA